TCGCCCGCGAAGCCGCTGAAGGCGACGCCCACGACGTTGCCCTCGCCGTCGAGCGCGGGGCCGCCCGAGTTGCCGCTGTTGATCGCCGCGTCGATCTGGACGACGACCAATTTCTCGCCGCGGCCGCTCCCGTAGGCCATCGCGTCCAGGCGGCTCACGACGCCCCGCGTCACGCAGACGTTGTCGCCGCCCATGGGGTAGCCGACGACCGTGACGTCGCTGAAGAGGCGGGGGAGGTCGGACGCGAAGGGCAGCGGCGCCGCGAGCGTCGTCTCCCAGAACGCGTCGTCGTCGACCTGGAGCAGCGCCAGGTCCCGCTCCGGCGACGCGTAGGCCACGGAGCACTTGAACTTGCGCGCGCTGCCGTGGGGGCGCACGCGCACGTCGCGCGCGTGGCGCACGACGTGCTCGTTCGTGAGGATCCGCGGACCGCCCGCCGCGTCCGTGACGACGAAGCCGCTGCCCGTGACGTCCTCCTCGGCGTACTGGCTCCAGGGCTGCAGGTAGTCCGGCTCCACGCACGTCGCGAAGATCATGCAGATGGACGACAGCGTCCCGGAGACCACCTCGGCGGCGCCCTCGGCGGCGCGCAGCCGTGGTGCCGGCGTGGGTGGGCGCCGGACGCCGTTTTTGGGGCCGATTCTTGCAAACCGTGTGTTAAAGGTTGATTGCATGAAGCCTTCGGCTACGGCCAGCAGCCAGACGATGCGCGCGGCGCGCCTGGAGAGGCCGCGCATCGCTGCTTGCAGTGGCGGAGAAGTGCAATGAGTTCAAGATGATTCGCTCGGCATCGACTTCGGCGTCGCGAGAGGCGCTCCGCGCCGTCCGCGGAGACGATGGATGCGGACGACTACGACCCCTTCGAGGCGGCGGCCTACGACCCCTTCGAGGCCGCGGAGGAGGGCGACGCCCAGTCCGCGGCGCCGGCGCCCCCGCCGGAGGCCGCCCCCGCGGAGGAGGCCGCGCCGGCCATCGACGCGGCGTCCATCGCCGCGTCGCTCGCCGCCGAGATGGGCACGCTCAAGGCGGCGCTCCAGGACAAGCAGGCCGTCGCCCTCGAGGCCGCGCGCGAGCTCGCCGAGGCCGCGCGGCTGAGGCGCGCGGAGGACGACCGGCTGCGCGCGATCCGCGACGACGCGCGCGCGGCGGCCGTCGCCGCGAACGCGGCCGAGATCGCGCTCGCCGACGCCGAGGCGGCGCGGATCCTGGGCACGACGGAGCTCACGCTCAACGGCGTGCGGCGCTGCCTGGCGAACGCCGTCCTCGCGTACCTCGCGGCGCCGCCGCCCAGGGGCGACGCCGCGTGGACCGTGGCGGCGTTGAAGAGCCGCGTCGGCGCGTCGCCCGGGGACGTGCGGCGGCGCCTCGACGCGCACCCGAAGCGCCTCCCCGCCGTCGAGGAGCTGTTGGACGTCTATTTCCGCGTGATGAACGACCCCAAGGCCTGGCGCGGCGAGACGCGGCGGCTGCACGGCGCGCGGCGCCGCGCGATGGAGAAGGGCCAGTTCACGGAGCTCTCCGGCGGCCTCTCCTTCAACGAGTTCCTCCGGGGCGACGCGGCCTTCGACGTCGACGGCGCGTCGCCGAACGCCGCCGTGACGGCCGCGCCGCCGCGGCGGCAGCCGCAGCGGCGCGCGTGGTCCCGGTCCCGGTCCGCGGATCGGCGGCGGAGCCCCTCGGACCGGCGGCGGAGCGCGTCGCCCGCGCGGCGCCGGTCCCGGAGCCCCTCGGACCGGCGGCGGCGGTCGCGGTCCGCGGACGGGCGGCGGTCGCGGAGCGCGTCGCCCGCGCCGCGGCGGCGGTCGCGGAGCGCGTCGCCCGCGCAGCGGCGGCGGTCGCGG